TAATTCTAAAGATTTCCCTGGGTTCAGCTCTGGGAACGTCTTCTCCGAGCGCTGGGAGACGAGCACAACCCCAGCGTGCCCAGACTCCTCTCTCCCCAGTACAAACTTTGGGGGTTATTCCTGTGGCCGTGGAAGTCTTGGTATTTGGCCAAGCTCTGGCTAAATAAAGCATGTCCAGAGCTAGAAGGCTATCGCTTGTGAGGCTGAGAAGCTGCTTCGGAAAGGGATGAGAAGTCGATAATTAATTAGGCTCAAAATGAAAACTTACCGTGTTAATCAACAGCGGCTAACAATGACTCGGTTTGCAATATTATGATCTCTCCGCTCAGGGGCTAAGGTGCAACCCACTTTAGGTTGCCTTCATACACCGTGTAAAGTGCTATTTCTAATGAATTCTCTTTAAAAAAAATAAAGCACTTAAAGTTGACGTACGCCCACGTGAATACATTATATAAGACGTTACCGGGACAGGCCTGGGCCAGGAACCTGAGCGAGCATCATGTGTAATCATGAAGCTCCACTTCCCTAACTCCAGTTTGCCAGCATAAATTAAGGTGATTTGGAAGGGGAATGTAGCATCCTACTGAGTTTGGTTAGGGAGAGAGAAGACTTGGTGCAAAGTTGTAAGATCTGTTGTGTTGTGAGCTATCGGAGGCGCTTCCGTTGGTTGTTCATTAAGTGGTGAGTTATTGCTATACGAGCCAAAGGTCATTTCAAAGGCTTATGGTGGCTAGATATCGTCTTTATAATGACCTGGGCTTCTTTGTGGGAGATTTTCTAGCACTCTTAAGTTCTTAATGTCCTGAATCGACACATTGCACAGACAAAGGCAAAATACTAATTCCGAGACGCAAATGCTTGCAGCGCATTTTCAATGCTGGGACTTCTTCGCTTATCTTTCTCTCGGTCTTATTCGGTATCTGGGGGGAGAAATGGAGAGAGACCCGCGCTAGCTCCGTTTCCGCGGAACTCCTCGCGGGCCGTGGGTGCGGGCGGCGGGAGAGGTGCTTGCAACCCTCGAAGGTGCCCGCAGCTCCCCGCAAAGGCGCTCCCTTACCCCGTGCGCTGCCGGGGCTGGCTGCTCGGGAAGGCAGGCATGGGTGCTGGGGAAGGCAGGCATGGGTGCTGGGGAAGGCAGGCATGGGTGCTCGGGAAGGCAGGCATGGGTGCGCGGGAAGGCAGGCATGGGTGCTCGGGGAGGCAGGCATGGGTGCTGGGGAAGGCAGGCATGGGTGCTCGGGGAGGCAGGCATGGGTGCTCGGGGAGGCAGGCATGGGTGCTGGGGAAGGCAGGCATGGGTGCTCGGGGAGGCAGGCATGGGTGCGCGGGAAGGCAGGCATGGGTGCTCGGGGAGGCAGGCATGGGTGCTCGGGGAGGCAGGCATGGGTGCGCGGGGCCCGTCGCAGCGGCTGCCGCAGGCCGCCCTGCCCGGCTCCCACCCGCAACCGGAGTATTTTGCACGTTTGTTTGCTCCCCGCCTCTCTCAAAGCTCTATTAATAAATGAAGAGAAACATCTACCCTTTGTCTGGTAAAAGATCTGACGCGGACGGAAAGACACGGTGAGGGGCTGCGGACGAGATGTGCATTTATTAACAAAGTCCTAAGGAAGAAAGTCCAAAACAAAGCAGTTTCCGTTGAGAGTTATCACTTCTGTTGCAGGTCCGTGCCCACGGATTATCCAAAGGAACCTGAAGATCCTACTCACACAGTTAAAGTCAAAAATCAAGAAAAAACGTAAGTTTGGTGAGTTCTCTACATTTCCTTTTCCATCCATCTCTCGCTTTCCCTATCGCGACGGGCCCGTCGCAGGGAGCGCAGCCCGGCCCTGCCCCGGCCCGCGCCCGCCGAGCGGGGAGAGCTGCTCGGTCCAACCCGGGCGGCAGCGGCGGCACCCCGGGCGCGTCCCGCAGGTCAGATAAGGAGCGGCCCGCACAGAGCCCCGCTGGAAGCCGCCCCTGTGCCGCGAAGCCGGGCCCGGCTGGGGAGCAGCCAAGGCCCGGACCCAGCCGCGGGGAGCGGGGGTCTCCATAGCTGCTTTGAGAGGCCCCACGGCGGCCACCGCTCCGCGTCCCGCAGGGCCCGTTCGCGCTCCCCAGAGCTCCCAGAGACGGGACGTGCCCGCAGCCCCAGCGGTGGTGCCCGGCTGCCCTGCTTGCGGCCGGGCCCGGCGGCGGCCCCGGCGTTTTCCTTATATACAGGGCTGCCCCGGGCCGGCGGCCGGGAAACGTGCCGAGCGGGGGATTCTTTTGCCGGGCTCCCTCCTACGCGCCGGCTGCTTTGCACTTCTGAAAGTGCCGGGGCTTGGGAAGTGTTTTCCTTTTCATTCCTGGCCGGAGCGTTTACTGCCACGGCGCTAGCAGTCATAAATTTTGCTACAACCGCAATGACAGGTGCATTGATATGCACCCTGAGAGCTCCGGCTGCTTTAATAACCGCTTCGCTGGCCGCTCTCACCGCCTCTTATTTATTCGGTATCATATTAGATATTGATCCGAAGCAGAATTAAGTGTAGTGGAAGTTTTAGTAGAGAACTGCTTAATATGAAAGTGTCGGAGGAGAGCGGCGGGCAGCGGCGGGCCGTGTCAGCCTGGGCCAGCCTGGGCCAGCCGGGGACGCCGGGGCTCCAGCTGCTTTCCGGGCACAGCCCTGAGAGGCTCGGCATCCCGCAAAGGCACTGGAACCAGTGGCAGGACAAAAAGTCCCATTATCGTGTGCGACGCCTAACAGTTCAGATGAGGTTAACCTTTCTGGAGAGGAAGAAGGGAAATCTGAAACACAGACATGGATACTTTGCGGTTTCCTACCCTCGGTGCCTCCAAGCCCACCTCCCACGGCTCGGCCTCACCATTTGGATGTCACTTTTTTTTCTTTTTTTTTTTTTTCTTTTTTTTTTTTTTTTTTTCCTGTAGGCTCTTTCTGGCCAAACCACCAAGTGTTGAGCCCTTGCTTTGGTGTTACCTATAAAAACATCACCCCGGGCCTTTCACTCGTGGAAAATCAAACCCTGGATAGGTCTCCCTCTCCCTCTCTCTCTTTTTAAGATCTAAAGATGAGCCACCAAACAGTTGAGCATTGTCCATGTGATTTATGGCCCATAGCCTCCTTTTTAGGTTCAAGCAGAGTTCACAAGCAGTTGGTATTTCAGAAAAGAAATAAGGCTTTTAACAGCTTAACAGCAATATTCTTTCTTAAGATTCTGTGTATTCTTTTGGGAACTATATTTCACAAGGCATATAAAAGCCTACGCTTAAGGCAGTGTTGTGCTAACAAAAGTCCTCAGTCCAGACCGGTCCCGAAAATGTAGATGACAGAAGTGGGAAAAGAGACAGAGCTATTTGGACAAAAATACGTCCAAGGCTCGTCAAGATTATCACATCGTATTAAAACTCATTTTTATCGCCACCGTCCATTTCTGCAGACTTTTTAAACAAAAATTTTCCAGGAGAGAAAAACAGTTCCCGTTCTGTCAGCTACACAGATCATCTCAAGCTTTTGTTTAGGAAAGAAAAGGACCCCGGCGGTGTGTGACACGGGATGAACCGCCGAGAGCGGCCGTGAATCGCAGCTCGCTGAGGTTATTTTCACTTACAGAGATGTGTTTCCCGGTGAATTTTAGAGAACAGATCAACGATACTTGGCGGGACCAATGATACTTGCGAGAGAAGGAAGAGTACTCTCCTAATATTGCATAAGTATAGGCAGGAGAACTACAATTGTCAGGCATCTTTCAAAGATTTCTAGCTACTTTTCTCTGGTATGTTAGTAGGCTTAAATCCTGCAGAAATACAAGGAAGTCTCAAGATATGTTGATTTACAGACTTATATTGTCAGGCGAAGCATGTGCTAATTTACAAAATGACCAAAAGTGTCAGAGAAAACCCCTATCCCACAAGAAAAATAGGAGCTGGGAATATTAAAAACTCGCACCAAAACTGCAGAACAGTTTCCATCTTGTACTAAGCGCAGAGAAGTTTTGGGAACAGCAAGGAGAAAGGTATCAGCACCCTGCCTCAAAACATCTGCCCTAAGGGGACCGTGCGCTTTCGGTGGGAGCAGCCCCATGTGGCAGCCGGGGGGCGGGGAGGGGAGAGCCGTAAGTTTGCAGGCCGAAAAAAGAAAAGAACCCTCTAAAAATTATCTCAAATGTCTCAGGTTCTTTCTACTGGGTACAAATAAAAGGGACGAGAAACGTTGGGTGAGGGAATTTAATTCATCACAGAATTAAAATAGGGGAGCTGACCTGCGACTTCCTTTATAGTGCAAAGTAAAGGGAGTGAATGGCGCCGGTTATACTTTAACTCTGGAGGAATCCGGGGAAAGAAGCAGGGCGGGTTTACAAAGGGGACGGGATTTTTCTGCCTCTGCCCGGCCGCAGCCCGGGCTCCATCCATCATGTCAGCCGCGCAGGGCCGTGCGCACGCGTGCCGGGCGGGGGGCGCCATGCTCTCGGCCGGAATGGGCCGCTGGCTCTTTGGGGACACCACCCAGCACAGTTGTCACTGAGAGGCTTGCCTACAACCTGACCCTGCCAAACTCGAGCGGGAACAGGCCAAAGGCAAAACAAAGTAAATAAAACATCCCCCAAAATGCTTCAAAAGCTGGCCTGTAGGATGTCCCGCCAATGTGCTCCGTTCCTCCCGCACCATGGCTCTCGGGTGGCTCTTTCCCTGCAGTGGCTCGGGTCCTTCCCTGGTGTGCTCTGCTCTCTCCCTGGTGTGGTCCAGCTTGCCCTGACTCCTGCCTGGTGACCGTGCTCCTACCCTTTTGTCCCCTGGTCCTTCTTTGGGTCCCCTGCTCCTTCCTTGATGCCTCCCAGCCCTCCCCTGCATGGGAGGCCGAGGCCGAGAGTGCCGGGGTGCGGGGGACGCCGGGACCGGCCCGTGCCAGCCGCTACCAGCCGGTTCCCCCTCTTAAAGTCTCTTTTGTGTCCCTGCTGTTTCCCTGCCCAGGTGGCTGCGAGTGGCCCGGGCCGAGGACGTGAGGCGCGGGGCGGCGGTCAATGTTATTTGAGCGGGGGCCGCGGGCCTCGGCGATCGCAGAGCAGAGGATGCAGAAAGCCGCCTACTACGACAACGCGGGGCTCTTCGGGGGCTACACCTACAACAAGGCCGACGCCTACCCCTACGGCGCGGCCCACCAGCCCTACGGCCAGGCGGGCCTGGACGGCGAGTTCCCCGGCTCCGCCTGCTCCGTGCAGGGCTCGGCGCCCGGCCGCGCTCCGGCCCACAAGGGCAGCGAGCTGAGCGGGAGCTGCATGCGGCCGGGCGGGGGCGGCCCCGGGGGCAGCCAGCCCCCAGGGATCGGCGAGCATCAGCCCCCGGCCCTGCCGCCCTCCTCCCCGCCCAACCCCCCTCCCAGTGTGCCCCCTCCGAAAAAAGTCAAGGGGGGCCCCAACTCCTCGGGCTCGGCCAGCGCCACCCTCAGCAAGCAGATATTTCCTTGGATGAAGGAGTCCCGGCAGAACTCCAAGCAGAAAAGCACCTGCGCCCCCCCAGGTAGCCCAAAACCCCCGCCCCGACCCACTGCTCGCCCGGGGAGCAGGGCTGAGTCCCTCGGGCTGAACCCCTCGGGCTGAGCTCCGGCTCAGGGCCTTGTCTGCTGCTCCTCTAGCTGCCATTGCCCTCCTATCCCCCCACCCCACCCCGCTGAGGGTCCCAGCCCTGTCGGGCGCTGCAGGTGGGACAGGCTGGGGGCGGGGTGCCGGGGACGGCTGCTCGGTATCTCTGGGGGGAGGCAGCCGCAGGAGGGTGGGTATCGGGCAGGGAGGAGGGGGAGGCCGCCCCCGGGCCCTCTGCACCCCCTCCCCGGGGCCGACAGAGCGAGAGGATATAGCAGGTTTCCGAGGGACCATGGGAGGAAGGGGAGCTGTCTTTCGTGGGGGGAACCAATGTCTCCTTGTGTCTCTTCCCCGCAGGAGAGAGCTGCGAGGACAAGAGCCCCCCCGGGCCGGCCTCCAAGAGGGTGCGAACAGCCTACACCAGCGCGCAGCTGGTGGAGCTGGAGAAGGAGTTCCACTTCAATCGCTACCTGTGCCGGCCGCGCCGCGTGGAGATGGCCAACCTCCTGAACCTGACCGAGCGGCAGATCAAGATCTGGTTCCAGAACCGCCGGATGAAGTACAAAAAGGACCAAAAAGCCAAAGGCATCATGCACTCCCCCGTCGGACAGTCTCCGGACCGCAGCCCCCCTCTAAGCGGCCCAAACCACGTCGGCTACTCCAGCCAGCTCCCCGGCGTCAACAGCCTGAGCTACGACGCGCCCTCGCCCACCTCGTTCGCCAAGTCGCAGCAGAGCATGTACGGGCTGGCCGCCTACACGGCGCCGCTCAGCAGCTGCCTGCCGCAGCAGAAGCGCTACGCGGGCGCGGAGTACGACCCCCACCCCATGCAGAGCGGCGGCGGCGGCTTCGCCAACCCCAGCCTGCAGGGCAGCCCCGTCTACGTGGGGGGCAACTTCGTGGACTCCATGCCGGCCTCGGGCCCCATGTTCAACCTGGGGCACCTGCAGCACCCCTCCTCCGCCAGCGTGGACTACAGCTGCGCCGCCCAGATCCCCGGCGGCCACCACCACGGACCTTGCGACCCCCACCCCACCTACACGGACCTTTCCTCTCACCACACCTCTCAGGGACGGATGCAGGAGGCGCCCAAGCTCACGCATCTGTAGCGGGGCGGCGGCCAGCGGGCCCCGCTCCCCTCTCCATTACCTCACTTTTCTGACGGGACAGTGTTACTGTGCTCTCGAGTGCCAACAGTATTAGTGGATTTGTCTCCCTTAGCAGCTCCCTTCTTTCTTCCGCAGCCCCGAGTAGGTCCGTGAGCAGGAGCCTTTCTCTTAGAGCTGTTTTAAGCATGACAGTGCAATATACTGCCAACCGAGGGACTGATAAGCTGGTAATGATGTACTTGAAGGTAAGTCTTAGAGATGCTGTAGTGTTAGCAGCGCGTCATGCTGAGGTGTTTTAGACCAGTCGTGAGCCGTCGGAACTCGCCCGCGCGTAAGCTTATTTCAGAGAAGTTAATTTATGGGTTCTTCCGTAACGTAAGGATCGCATTGGACTAAATGATATGTATTTATTATTTTAAGCGAGACATTTTTTGTATCACTGATTATTTATCCTCGTCTTAATGTATTTATGTGGGTATTTGTAGAGTTTCTTCACCAATACTTCGGGAGAGGGATTCAGGTCCGTGGTGACTTACATTTCACCTATTTAGTATAATCGGTCTGAGCTAGTTGAGAGAGTAGTCTTGAACAGTTGTAACAGTGGCTGGTGTTTGTAGTTTATGTAAGGATTAATTAAGACAGCAAGTCGTAAATCATTAATAGAGTAAAACAAACTGTGGCATCACACAAAGAGCCGTTACACTTTAAAAAAATATTGAAAGTATTTTTAAAGTATTTATTTCTAATCGGCTGGCCCCACTCGAGCGCCTCGGTGGCTTGGCCGGCAGCTGGCTCGGCCGCGTGAAGCCACCTTCAGATGGAGGCGCAGCCGCTTTGAGGAGGCGATCTACAACGAGGGGCTCTTGGCCATCTTGTTTCAGATCAAATCCTGCATATAAAAACCTCGGTGAGGTTAACATTTATTTATTGGCTGGGTATGTATCGCGCATATTATTTCGGTGGGTTGTTTTCTTTTTTTTTTTTTCTTTTTTTTTTAATTACACTCTGGCTATCCAAAATAGAAAAGGAATTAGAAGCTTAGAAGGCAAAAAAATTAGAAACCCTCTGATAGTGCTAATTTCATTAGGGTCTCCATAGCAATCCGCACAGCAGCTGCCACCTCCTTTGTTGTTTTTATACTGTTGTCTTTTACTAACCATAAATCAATTTTTAGACATCTTTGGAAGGCCGAGCTTTTCCTCTTGGTTTGTTTTTTTTTTTTTTCATAAATATAAACTTTGAAAGAAAATTGACAATCAGATACACGCAGCCGAAGGGGGACGCTGAGACGGGGCGCGGGCAGGGCCCGGGCGGTGCCGCCGCGCTCCCGGTGCCCGGCAAGGACAGTCCCACCCGGCCTGACCGCCGCAGGGGGCACCGCCACCTCCCTGACACCAACAGGACAGCTAACGCGGGGAAGAAAAAATTAAAGTAACGAGAAGATAAAAAAATAGGAAAAAGAAAGGGAACGGTGCTCTGAAGCCTCGTGTTGCCTCCTCTCTAGTTACACGGCTGTATTGAACTCGCTGGATTTACAGAGATATTTCTTTTGTAAACGCTGTGATTAAAGTCTCTTCCTGACAGTACATATTGCTCTGAGAAGGCTATTCTTGTCTCTTTCTAAAAGTGTTGGGTTAAATATTAATCCAAGCTTCTATATTCCCCACCAAAGCGTCTGATGCATCGCTTTCCAGTTTGACAAACACTGCAGCTCCTACTCCATCCTCTGATGACAGACCTGGCATTCCTATTGTGAGAAATATTTTGCCACCTCCTATCCTGGTCAATACAGACAGGTTTTCTTTTATTTATTCTTCTTTTCTTTCCCATCCCTGCTTTCTTCCTCGCCATTTGTTATTTTTGTTCAGCTGAGCACTAATGATTCAAAATATTACTTAGGGTTTTGTTTTCCCCTCTGTGAGATTTCAGCAATGCTGTGCTACAGTGAAAAGTGTATCTTTTGTTAAATTCCACTTTTAACCAAGCAAATTTGGATATATGTGTTACAGATCTGTAAACAAAACAGAACAGAATAAACTTCTTTGTTTGGAGACATATTTTAACCCTTTTAAGCCCTAAAATTGTATTCTATGGAAGTTTTCACACAAATTGTTTCTTAGAAGCACCACCCAGGAGTAAATAAAACATACAAACAACACAAAAAGTAATGCTAGACACCACTTGTGATTTACACTTCTGTAATTTCCCATAAATATATACATATGTTTGTCTCTCCAAAACTTTCTGCAATCAGTGTGCCCACAAACAAAATTCTCCATGTAGGCTTTTTGTGAAAGCAATATATATTGAAACACAATATATTTTGCATCACCTGCTTCTTTCTGTGAAACAGCAAGGCACCACCATTTCTGCAGGACACCCAGTGTCCTTCTCCCCTTTGCTTTGTGCTTTGTAGGCTGATAGTCAAACAGTGTCTGCCTCGACTTAGACTATTAGTCCTTATTAAATCTGGTGAGAAAGAAAAGGCTGTTTAGAGATCTGGGAAAGGAAGGGAGCTCAGAGGAGCCCTGACCACAAGCACGGTGTTACTGAGGCCCACTGCCCTGAATTGCTTTCATGTTGCAGAAGACAGGGCCAGCAGACATGGTTTCCAGGGGGGAGGAGGAGGAGCTTGTGTGAGGGAGAATCTTCTTGTAAATAAATTCACTTTCTCCTCTGTGACTCTGGCAGAGGTGTCTCCTTTGTAATGCAATAGAAGTCCATGATGATAACCTAATTATTAGAAGTAATGTAACTTTAGCAAGATTGCTGGCATTTTTACAATGTTTGTACAAGCTTCAGCAATCTAGAGGAGAGATACACTTTGGCACAAGCCAGACTTTTTCTTGGCTCATCATTTAAAACCCATAAATTATAAACAAACCCCTTTTACACTCATCAGGAGCTTAGCTCCTTTGCAAGAGCATCTGATGTGATGAACTCCAGTCACCTATTTAAAACACAGCTAGTCAGCCAAGGCCAGGCCTGGGGCTGATCTTACCTTTGCCTTTCTTTACAAATAGGAGGCACAGCACCCCTTCCTCTCCTTCCCTGCTCCCTCCATCTGCTCCAGACCCATAAAAGGGTCAGTGAGCCGGGCCTTCTAAATGCTGGCAGTGATGCTGCCCTATTTGGGATAGGCAGCTGCTGACAGCACTGCTTGAGAGGTGTCAGGGGTGCATGGAGCTTCAGTGAGGCCATGCAAGTTATTTTGTTCAGATCAGTGGGGTTTGGGTCTCCACTTTCTGGTTTGGCCTTTACAGTAACCCACCATTCAATGGCATCCCAGCAGTTTCCCCAGTGCAAAAGGAGCTGAGGCTTTGTGTTATCTCCATGCAATGAGTGCAGGGCTGAGCCACCCCTTTGCATCCTGTTTCTTTTTGAGGGGGGCCCATCAGTGTCCCACTGTGCATGGCCTGGTTAGCAGCACCAGAGCAGGGAACCCTAGACAGGCACAGCCAGGGGCTTCCAGGGATGCCACAGTTTTGTAGGTGCCACTTGTGTTTGACTGGGAAAACAAAGCCAAATGCCTCCTGCTCCATTAGCAAGAGTTCCCTGAGCAGGCACTGCAGGCTCCCAGCCCTGCTCCATGGGCAGGCCAGGGAAGGACTCAGGGGCACCCCCGCGGCTTCCACTATGAGACCACACCAGGGTCACCTGGGGCTGCAGCAACCTTGTCCAAAGATGAAGAGAATGCAGCTGGCTGCACACCCAGGAGGCAAGGGCATGCAAGGAGGAGGCTGGCTAAATAAGAGGGAGCCCACCAGCATAATCTAGAAGACCCCTGACTTTCTTGAGGGCCAGCTGGGCCTTTTGGGCTCCATGGCAAAAAGCCTGAAGGCAGAATGCACCACTGGGGTGTCTGCACCCCTCCAGCCCCATGGGAAACCCTTTGGAACAGCCTGCAGGGACATCCAGGCACTAAAAGGTCAACCTGCCAGGGGAAAAAACAGGGTAAAGGGGATGGGGCTGCTGGTCTACCAGTGAGAGGGTGCCTTGCTGATAGCTGTCAGCTGAGGAGAGAGGAAAGGAGCCGCAGGTTGTGATGCCATCCTCCTACATGCCAGCCTGCTGTGCGTGCCACACACCATGGCAGCCTGGCAAAGGCACAGTGTGCTGCACGGTGGGCAGCCCAGGTGCCCAGCACTGCACTGCAAACCTGCCAGGGAACACAGGCAGGAGCTGGGTGGGCAGCACACAGGGGCTGCTGCTGCCAGGGCAGTGAGGGCCGTGCTGGTGGCTGGGTGTCATGTGGTGTTGTACACTGATGAACAACATACATCTGCTTTTAAAAGGTGCAAGGTAAGCTGGGCCAGAGCTCTGTTGGCTGCAGTCACTTTCCAGGGACTGAATGGCAAGTTAATCCCTGAATGGGCAATGCCTGTCTGCTCCCACGTGAGAGGCAGCAGTGGGTACCCCATGGTGCTTGCTTGCAGTGGCGCTGCCAAGAGAGTGACAGGGCTGGCTCTGTTAAGGGTCAGCAATCACACCAAGAGCGCTTTTTTTACTCGACAGTGGTTCCTCCTACTTCTGCTTGGACCTGAGCCAGCTGGGATCAGAGCAGAAACCCCATCCAACAGAATGCAGTCCCAGAGCTTGAGAGCCATCGAGTAACAGGACAGGACTGAGCCCCTTTGGCCACATAGGCTAAGATACAAAATGGCACTCAGTGAGGTACCTGTGCCTGCACATCCCTAAGCCTCTGCAGATGCTGCTCAGGAGCAGAGGTGAGTCTTTGTCTCTCTTTTTGGAGTCCAGGGTTCTGAAGCTTTCAGAACGTTCTGGGATGAATTACAGAAAGGCTCAGCTTCAATGACAATAAGCACAAAGCAGAGTGAAAACAGCAAGGAATTTGTACTAGACAGGATGGACATCTTCTGGGTAAAAATATTCACAAATGTAGGATTTGAACACTTCGTTTATTTTTACATGCAGTTTTTCTTACAACAACTGAAGGTAGGCAATCCCATGCTGAGTGAGGTACACAGACTCAATCTTTC